ATCTTAGCTGTGGAGGGCAGTGTCACTGGCCCTCATATGTGGGATCCGAACCGGGGCCCTCTGGCGTCCCAAACCAGTTCTTAACCATCGCGCCACTCAGCCGGCCCTTTTTTTTCTTTTTTTAATTAAAGTTTATTAGGGATGATGATGGTTAGTAAAGTTACATAGGTTTCAGGCGTACAATTCTGTTGTACATCATCTATATATCACATTGTGTGCTTACCACCCAGAGTCAGTTGCCGGCTACAAAATCAACATACAAAGTCCATTATATTCCTACACAGGAACAATGAAATCTCAGAAAAAGAAATTTTAAAAAAATTCCTTTTGCAATTGCAACAAAAAGAATAAAATATTGGGTTGTTGGAAAAGTCATGACATATTTTTTCTGTTTTTCGTTGCAAAAATGCGTCATGATTTTTCTGAAAACCCAATATCTAGGAATAAACTTAACCAAGGATGTTAAAGACCTATACACTGAAAACTATAAGACATTTTTAAAAGAAATTGAAGAAGACACAAAGAAATAGAAAGACATTCTGTGTTCATGGGTTGGAAGAATCAACATAGTTAAAATGGCCATATTATGCAACACAATACACAGATTTAATTCAATCCCCATCAAAATCCCAGTGGTTTTTTTAAAGAAATAGAACAAAAAAATCATCAGATTTGTATGGAACCACAAAAGACACAGACTAGTCAAAGCAATTCCTAAGAAAAATGAATAAGGTTGGAGGTGTCACACTCCCTGACTTCAGCTTGTACTACAGGGCAACAATAATCAAAACAGCATGGTATTGGCAGAAAGACAGACATGCAGACCAATGGAATAGAGCTGAGAACCCAGAAATAAACCCACATGAATATGGACAGGTAATTTTCAACAAAGAAGCCAAAAACATATAATACAATGGGGAAAAGACAGCCTCTTCAATAAATGGTGCTAGGAGAATTGGAAAGCCACTTGCAAAAGAATGAAACTAGACTGCTATCTGTCACCGTGTACCAAAATTAACACCTTGTCATTTTGGCCTCATCCTATTGGCCAAAGCATGTCACATGGCTATCCAAAGCCATGTGATAAGGGAACATATCCCATCTTTTTAGAGGGAACACTGCCAAGCCACTTAGACCTGGATCCAGGGTGGGGTGACAAATTAGAGGCAAAAATGCAATCTACTATATCTACATTAGTTAAGTCAACTTCTCATACATAATCAGGTCTCTTCTCACCTTCTGTGAGTCTCAGAATTGATGAGGCCCCAAAATTTAATGATCATTCATAATGAGAATGGAGGTGAGCGTGTAGGGGGAGGAATCAGTGGTTACTTTGCTGCTTTCTTATCCCCTACAGCACCTAATAATGCATGATGCCCATAATCCATGATTCAGATCCCACACAGAACCACCTTTCTTTGCTGCTTCTATACAGACTGAACAGAATTTGCAATATAAGGATTTTAAGTGTTTTTCCCATTTAGAACATGCATACTAATATATAATAATGAATACAGGTTGACCTCCTACTGGAGGCAGGACACCAAGCACTCAAGATTTTGGTTGCCTCCTTAAGAAGTAACAAAGCACTCTACTTATGGTTCAGAGCACCTAAAATTATGTAAATGTTGCCCATGTTTGCACCAAAGAACTGCACCATGTCTGCTTTGTGTTGTAGGTCTGTGTAACTCAGCCGATAGCTGGATGATCGTGCCCAACATCAAGCAGAACCACTACACTGTGCATGGTCTGCAGAGCGGCACCAAGTACATCTTCATTGTCAAGGCCATCAACCAGGCAGGCAGCCGCAGCAGTGAGCCCGGGAAGTTAAAGACAAACAGTGAGTGCTGTGAGCTCCCCAGAGCCGTTGTCTCTCATCTGCTCTCCTTTCAGCTGCCTCTGTCCCCACTTCTTTTCCTTTCCTGTCTCAGACATTGTTGACAGCCTCAAAAAAGCAAGTACAGAACCAGTGGAGAATAGTGGACTTTGTATCGGAGACCCCTGGGTTCCAAAACTGACTCTACCCCTTAAGGACTGGGAGACCATTAACCTCTCTGCGCTTCAGACTTCTCATGTTTAAAAGAAATAATCCTGGAGGAGTTTTGTGACAATTATAATATATGAAGTCTAGTACATACTTGGGGCTCTGTAAATGGCAGATAATATTGTTTTCTGTAGCAGATTAGCAAATTAATAACTATTTCTTCAGTTCTTTGTTTTACTCCAGATATCTGTGCCTAGGTCTGTGGTTCTCAATTAAGGGTGATTTAGCAATGTCTGGAGACATTTTGGGTCATCACAACAGAGATGGATGCTACTGGCAGCTAATGGGTGGAGGCCAAGGATGATGGGAAACTCTCTACAGTGCCCAGGACAGCCCCACAACAAAGAATGATCTGGTTTATACACGCGTCTTGTAACACTGTCGTCTCTCTCTGTCTCTTCCCACATGTGTTTTGTTTTATCCTCTTTTTTCTTTACATCTTTTTGATCTAGAAATATTATGTTCTATAACACGGCATTTCTTTGCATAAGACCTCCCAAGAAAAAGCAAATTGGAGTGTGTCAGTATGGTGCCTTGTTATAGGGGTAGCCGGCCAGTCAGCAGGAACAATTAACTGTTTTTTAGGAGGACCCTCATTTAACCCAAATCCTTGATTTCAGGGATTTCAAGTTATTTGACTTCATTTGACTCTTGCTATACGTGTTTAAGACACATACTTTTAAACATTATGCTGATTTCTCCTTTCAGTGTTTTTGCTGGTAAAGAAGAAAACATTTTTAGAGATTAAGTAGGCAAAAATGAATAAATGCATATACTGAGGTTAATTCTGCAGCATATATCTTTGAGACATGTCATGACTCTGTTTTTAAAATCTGCTTCTGAATATATGTTGTTGGTCATGTTAAAATAAACATCCTTTTCCTCTTCCTCTTCTTGTTTCATAAACTTGTTTCTAGGCCAACCATTTAAACTGGACCCCAAATCTGCACATCGAAAGCTAAAGGTGTCCCATGATAACTTGACAGTAGAACGTGATGAGTCATCATCCAAAAAGAGTCACACGCCTGAACGCTTCACCAGCCAAGGGAGCTATGGCGTAGCTGGAAACGTGTTCATTGATAGTGGCCGGCATTACTGGGAAGTGGTCATAAGTGGAAGCACATGGTAGGCAATTATATCTATTGTGTCAATTATAAAAAGGCCCATTTCATTATGTACTTTGTCAAAGCATCAATCCATACTAGGGTCCATCTTGAAGAAGAACATGCAGAAAAGTTTTATCAGTCAGCTCTTGCTATAGTAATGCTGCATAGCAAATATCCCAAAACTCAGTGGCTTCAAACAACAATCATTTATTATTGCTCACTAACACCCATATCTGTGGGTCAGTTGATCAAGGCTAACCTCAACTGAGCTTTGCTTTAAGCTGTAGGTTGGATCTAGGTCTGTTCTGTGTGTCTCTTCATCCTCTTTGGATGTGTGGGCTCCCCAGGCCATTTCCTCCTCAAGGAGCCCAAGAATACAAGCCCAACTCTGCAAGCACACCTCCAGCCTCTGCTTGCATCATGTCTGCTAACTTCTCATGGCTAGTCCCATGGCCAAGCCCAAAGCCAATGGTACAGAGAAGTGTATTCCTCCCACGGAGGTGAAAGGAGGGAGTGAATATCTGCCAAGCAATCATCTAATCCACCATTGAGCCAATAAGAAAAATAACTTGGTTTTAAGTCCATCCATTTTTTATTTATGGCAAGAATTGCAGCTAAGATGATAAGAGTCCTGGTCCCTGGGAGAGCTAGTATGCTAACATGACTCTTTCATGCCTTAAAACACACGGCAGCCAACCCCAGCCCTTCGGCCAAACCTGGTGGGCTGCCTGTTTTTGTAAATACAGGTTTATGGGACACAGCGACACCTATTCTTTTCCATCTTGTCTGTAGCTGCCTTTGAGCCACACAGCAGAGCTGAGCAGTTAAGACAGAATCCAGTGGTCCACAAAGCTGAGATATGAACTTTCTGGCCCTTTACAGAAAAAGTTTGCCAATACCTACTCTAAAACATGACTCTTCATCATTTAAGAAATCTAATTTCTGTTGCCTGTATGTTTTGTGATTCCAGTCTGGGCCAATTGCTGCAATTGGCTGAGTGCAAAGGGCTGGGGTGAAGCAGTGATCATACTAGGGTCCATCTTGAAGAAGAATATGCAGAAAAGCTTTATCAGTCAGCTCTTGCTATAGTAATGCTGCATAAGAAACATCCCAAAACTCAGTAGCTTCAAACAACAATAATTTATTATTGCTCACTGACAAAGTGATCATAGACTGGGAATCATCTCAAAAGGTCTGGGAGATCCAGTCCAGTGACTTTAGCCCACTGAGATCTCTAAGCCTAAGGGCAAAGGTCAGGGTGCAATCTGCATTGGAATTAGTTTACCTTGCCAAGTTAACCTCACAAAGCTGACCTTGCCTATTTCACAGCCACAAACTGCACCCCTTACTCTGGCCAACTATCTCACAATACCTGTTTTCTCTTGCTCAAAATGGGAGCTATTTTGTTTTCATTTAACCAGCCCTCATCTAGCCACAACTATGTGCCAGGCACTACTCTGGGCATTTTACAAATGTTAACTCATTCTTCCTAACAACCCTACAAAGGTAGGTGCTAGTATCCCATTTTACAAAGGAGGTAACTGAAGCACACACCCAAGGTCACAAGGTCACAAAGCTCGTAGATAGCGGAGTTAGGAACTCTGCAGTCAGGGTTCAAGCTCTTAACCAAGGGTCCGCAGATGTTGTCTGTAAGGGGTCAGAGCCAATATTTCTGGTTTTGCAGGACAGGTGATTTTTGTCACAACTGCTCAACTCTACTTGCAGTAGGAAAGCAGCCCTAGACCATACATACCACATCCACGAATGGGTGTGGCTGTGCGCCAGTAAAACTTCATTTATAAAAATAAACAGAGGGCCAGATTTGGCCTGTGGGTTGTAGTTTACTGATCCTTGCTCTTAACCACCATGCTATATTTTCAAAACATTATAATTACTCTTTGGGGCTTACAGGGGTGTACTTAATGAGAGATAGCTTAATCCTTGCTTTAAAAAAGACCTCAAAACTGTATAACCTGAAGATGATGAGTGTTATAACAGTGTTATTTTTGAGATAAGGATGCTTAGACACTTCTTATTTATTTAAAAAAAGTTTCAATTCAAATTTATGTAAATAATACATTGCATCCACATTTCTTATAGTCAGAAGTGAAATCGCAAGCCTGGGTATCTCATTTCTCCCAACAGTGGCACCTGTATTGGCCAACCAAGTAGGCTTTCTTCTGTTGTGATCCTCACAATCTTTTTTTTCCCTGTTCCAGCATCCTGCTGGAGGATGGAGAACAAATCCTTCCACCCCACTCAGCTCTGGGCCACACTGGCATTTACAGTTGTTAGCTACACTGGGGCAAGACAAAAGCCCAAAGGAAAATACCATTAAGTTTTGCAGGTGCAAAAGAGCAAACATTTCTAGTTCATTAACGTGCCATATTAATCTGGGATGGAATCCAGTGTCTAAATAATTACAACCCCATTAATAATTATTTATGATAAATGATACCTAATCATTATGATCTCATTCCCATTGATGAATGGTGCTGGAAATTCCACCAGACCACTTCAATTATGTAAACACAGATCAACATTACCTTGAAAACACCCTCCAGATGTCAAAACCTACCCATGACGGGGGAGAAGTTTTAAATTAATTGCCACACTTTGGATTTTTACAAACCTGATTTTGTCAATTTCAGAAAAATTCTCATGTACAACGTAGCTTAATATTTCCTGGGAGGTGGTACTGAGAAAGGAGTGACCCCTATGATCAAATGCCTGTGCCGCCTTGATTTGCAACAGCTATTGACAACATATATTTTCTCATGAAATACAGTCTTGACCTTAAATTAACATGTATGTTATGATCTGTGCAATGGGGCATGTTAACATTGCTCTGAGAAACATAATTTTTATTCTCTTTTAATTCTCCGAGACTACTGCGAAACTTAATGGAACATTACCTTCTGCCTGCACCTTTCATGTTCAATAGAAACATGTGCATAGTTTTACAGATTAATGATAATATAATGGTATTTTCCCTTGCTTAATGGACTATACACGTAGTTATTTTCTTACCCTCTAATGCTGTTAATGTGCACTTGGTATTTTATAAAATTGTGTTAACTAAACATGAGTTCACCCAGAGATTACTGGGCCAGACAGAAGTCAAGGGGAAGGAGGCGAGATCCTGGATTTTGCTCCTAATTTTAATCTTCTCTGTGTTTTCCCAATTGCTAAATGAAGTCAGTCATACCTGCAGCAGCTGCTTCATAGGGGGTTCAGTTAAGGTTCAAATGGGAAATAAATGTCAAAGTCCTTTAATAAAAAATAAAAGTGGTTTGCAGCAACAAGAAGGAAACAATACAGACATACGGCTATTTTGTGATGCAATTGCAGGTTCCAAATTATCTACCAGGGAATAGAGGACATCTATGGGGGAAATACTTAAAATTGCAAAACAAAAACCTTTTCCAAAGACTCAGTTAGGGTTCGGAAGAAAAACAGAAGTCACTCTAGGTTCTCCAAGGAGGAAGAGAACCAGAGGCTTACTGGAGCCCAGGAAGGGCTGAGAGCACGAGTCAGGAAGGCCTCTACACTGCTCCAGTCCATGAAGCCTGGACGAGCTGTGTGTGCTGGACGGCTACCCACAGCCCAGAGGCAAGTGTGCCTGGGAGCATGCCCAGAAGCTTCTGCAAACCGCACCTCTGCTATCTGGAAAACAGTGTTTCCCCTCCCCCTTAGAACTTCTGGATCTTGTATGAGGGCAGAACCTGACCCAGTCTCCTAATGGAAAGAAGATTCTGGAAAATGCAGCCCCAGATTCTCCCTGTGATATAGGGCAGGATTTATGAGAGGGAAGAGGGGAGGCTGAATGGATGGTAGACAGGTTGCCACACTGGGCTTAACAGATTATCAATTCCATTCTCTTTTACTTCAGTGATGACATGTTATATTCATTTTTTAAAACACAACACCCTTAAAGTAATTGCATTTTAAACGCAACATGTGATTTTTAAAAGAATGTCATCAAAGACCAATGAAGTTTTTCTCTCTGCATTTTGGAAGGTACCATAGGTCAATATCTAATTATACTAGTTTCTGCAGTAACATTAAAAGTTGGATGAGATTTGCTTATCTAAATAACTGAAATACTATACCACAAATATTATGGAGGCATACCTTAGTGAGGTGAAAAGAGATGAAGAAACTTAGAACACTGTAGAAAGAATTCTTAACACTTTTTTGAGCACGTGAGCGCATATTAGAATAATGTTAGAATAACTAGGATATCTATCTGCTCCAAGACATGGAGAACTTTTAAAAGCATAGTAGGAAATCTAATCAGAAGGGCTCTTGGCAGTGATGAATTACACAATTTCTGGTGAGGGAAGGCATTAGAGAGTGTTGTTTCAGTTTGTGACCTTTTGAGTCATCCTAGGTTTAAATTATGATTCTGTTGCTCATTAGTAATGTATCACTGGGCAAGTATAATAAAATAACCATTACCGAATATTCCATGCCAGGCCTCGTGCCCAGGATTTTACATGTATCTTTTCCTTTACTCTTCGGAGATGGAGACCGTCCTTGTCTCTGTGGTATAGATGAAAAAAACTGAGGCTGAGGGATGACAAGGAACTTACCCCATAAAATGAAAATTATTCTTCATGCTTGCCTTCTGCAGAGTAGAAAATGACAGACATGGCATCGGTTCAAAAATTCAAAGGTCAAAAGGAAAAGTCTGAGGAGGTGCTGTTCATTTAACCATGAGCCACAGGCAGCTATTTAAATAATGTAACTTAATTAAAATTAAGTAAATTTAAAGTTCCGTGTCTTATTCTCAGCAGCCACAGTTCAAGTGCCCAGTAGCCACATGTGGCTCATGGCCACCATATTGAACAGAGAAGAACATTTAGAAAGTTCTACTGGACGACACTGGTCTAGAGAATTTATTGTGTGGGTCTTCATGAGGGTAAAAATGAAAGGCAGCAAAACACAAAGTTCAAACTCTCTTGGAATAGTCGGAACTGAAAATAGGAATATGGGTAAATCCAATGGCCCCTTTCTGCTCACTATATGGTTAGGCGGGAAGAAGATGAACACATGTGTCAGGGCTCTTGCCAAGCTTTCACTGAAGGAAAATGAACAAGGATAACAGAGGATCACGTTCTCATGACCCCTGAGGACCAGAGAAAATATTTCACATACATGTGCGACATGCTCATTGATTTCGTTGCTGCTGTTTTGTTTCTGCAGGTATGCCATTGGCCTTGCTTACAAATCAGCCCCGAAGCACGAGTGGATTGGGAAGAACTCTGCTTCCTGGGCACTGTGCCGCTGTCACAATAACTGGGTGGTGAGACACAACAGCAAGGAAATCCCCATTGAGCCAGCCCCCCACCTGCGGCGCATCGGCATACTGCTGGACTATGATAATGGCTCCATCGCTTTCTACGATGCTTTGAACTCCATGCACCTCTACACCTTCGACATCACATTCTCGCAGCCTGTGTGCCCCACCTTCACCGTGTGGAACAAATGTTTGACCATTATAACTGGTCTTCCCATCCCAGACCATCTGGACTGCACAGAGCAGCTGCCATGAGCACCTGGCCATGTGGAGCTACTTTCTGGGGAATAGAAAGGGTGGTGGCCACCATTTAGGGGACAGAAAGCACAAGCTTCCAGAGTGATTAAATCTCACCAAAAAAGTGTCCAGAAATCAGCTAAGATAGGACTAAAACATGCGATTCCCCACTCTCCCTTTTACTGTGTTTTGTGTTAAGTACAGGCTTTAATAATTTCTTCAATTTTTTTGTATTTACAGGAAAATTTATAGATTATTTATAAAAGAAACATAACCAGAATTACACCTCTTAGGAACTTTTTGGTTTTGCACAATAAGAGGCCCATACGTTGAGCAGCTCTTTACAGCCTTTATTTCTTCACAGTCTATAACAGTGCAAACAGAATATGCAACTACTTTAAAAATAAAACATAGCTTTGAACCTCGTAGGGAAGTAACTGGGCTTTCTTACTCTGGCTTATTTTGAGGTGTTTTAAATGTGATGTCACAAGCTTTTATTGGATCAACTCAAATGGAGAGCGAAAGAGAGAATGGAAAGAATTGACTTTGGAGCTTGGAATCTGCCATGGCTAAATCCTTAATTACCCTCTGATGGCTAGTGGGATAATGTTGGAAAGAAAGGTTCTGAAACCTTTGGCCATGTTTTACCCTGCTTTTCCCAGGACGAAGGATTCTGGGAGAACATTAAGAATGAGATTGCAATTGAAAATCATCACTTTGAATCCTACTGGTTATTCCAAAATTCAAGCTGATTTGTGTTTTATCCGAAGTAGGGTTCTATTTCATGATATAAATTTTTCACTCTTTTTTTTAATAGTTTCTTTAGGTTTGTGAAATTTCTTCACTACATTTATAGTTGTCCTCTTTCCCCCACCCAAATCATTTTTCTTTTGTCACCGGGGCTGAGGAAATAAACATTTTCTGTCACAAATGACAGCATCACTGTGGATTGATTTTGCTCTCCAGGACATCAACACATGGCCCCAACTGCCACTATCATGTCCAAATATAAGACCCGAAAAACACTTAATATTTATGAGTTGGTAATGACAAGGGACGTTGCATAAAGTACTATTCACTAGTATACGTGCCTCAAAAGTTATTATAAACAGACCTTTATTAAACACATCTTGAGAGATGTAGAATTCCCTCTGTATATTCTAGAATAGTTTACCATAGAGTTGTAAGACAAAAAAAAAATCAAACTTGCTGTTCTCACGTTGGAACCTGCCAATACAACCTGCTAATAGAATATCAGATGGGATTGTTGACATGCTGATCTGACACGTCAGAATGGTCCATGAAGTAAGGCTTTCTCAAGCAGTCCTTGGACCGGGAATCTGGCATTGGTTCTACCTTGACAAAGGGCATGACATCTATAAGTCATTTCATTTGCTACAATATTTATCTGGGCTACTAGGTCGGCCATTTTGACTGAACAGGCTGGTGGGTTTAGGCATTGGTTTTAGTGATTTTGTTGCTAACCAAATCAACCAATTGTTCCCCTGAAATCCGTCCATAGACCCGCATCACATTGCGTGATTTTTGAGTCTAGATTTCATGGGTGGCTTCCCAGTGCTTCTGTCCTATTCACTGGCAGATGCTTTCCTTTTTCATAACAGATAGAGTCTATATATTTACTATATTATTTATACCCAGATGAATATTTTGATAGCTACTTAGGACAATTTCACATCTAAAAGACGGACACCTCAATGGAAAAAAAAACATTCTCTGGAAACTTAATGGGATTTTTTTTTTTACAATATAAAAACAATGTGTATTTGCCTTCCCTGAATAAACTGAAAGGGTTGTCTCAGTAATTTTTACATACTGTTTTTGGTAGCTGGGTAATGGCTATTTTAATGCACTTTGTACATTAACAGGTTTTAAATAAAAGAGTCTAAAACTCAGCTTCTGAGTTGTTTTAAACCATGGTCTCCAGGTACCAATAAATGCTACAGTTTGCCTTATGATGTTAATGCAAAAGCATTTACCAGAAGGACAATATTTCCGTGAATATAATGTTTTTCAATATAAAGCAGTTACTACTCAAATTTTCACTGTAAGCCTTTTAGGTTATGTTTTGACTATTTTTATAAGGACAAGAGGGATTATGTTATAATTTTGTTGTGGAAGTCTCACTCTTTGCTAACTTAAAAACACTGTGGATAGTAGCAGTTACTATGTCCATGTTGTCATATTTACAAGAAAATATGTATATGGTGAAAGGCCACATTGTTTACTTTCATTACTGTAATGATGTAGAAAAGATTTCCATGTGGATTTTTTTGAAAGTCTGAAAAATATACACTATATACATTTGCTGCAGTACAATTCTTTAAATGGATTGGGGTCACAGTATTTTGTTTTTGAGATCCTTACTTAACAGGAAGCATTGCGATTTGGGAGAGAAAGAGATGGCGGTGCCAATTAAAGTAATACAACAAAATTGAAGCAGTGCCAACCCAGGCTGCCAGGTCCGACATCATGGTTGTGTGAACAGTGCTGTCACCATCTTGAAATTCTTAGTACTTTTTGAACAAAGGGCCTGCGTTTTCATTTTGCACTGGGCTTCACAAATTACACAGCCAGTCCTCCTAACAAAACTCAGAAATGCGGTACCTCTCTTCCTGGTGGATACAAATGAAGAAACCTGGGTCCAATGTCAAAAGTGGCTGGCCATATAATTCATGTAGGAAGCTAAATGGATTTAAATGAGAATGGGCCTGCGTGAAGATTTTCTTTACGGATTTAAAAGAAAATGACTTCAAAAACTGATTGCAAATATTGATGATGGTTTCTGCTGGAGAAAAGGAAAAGGCCAGATGACCAACAGGCATTTTTATTATAGTACTGGTATATTGACCTAAACTTCTTGAGGAACTGAACCAATGCCCTCCAGTGAACGTGGAATTCCATTTTGGCTCCAGGCACATGCATTGTCTGCAGAGACACGTATATATGCTCACTTAGATGTGCTTTTGGTGTTGGGAAATTGATCATCTATCTGGTCTACCCTTATGTTAAAAGGAATACAAAGACAATGATGGGGGCAAGAGGATGTTTTAAAAATAGTGCTCAACAAGGGGGCAATTTGGGATTGTCTGGAGTCATCTATAGTTGTCCCAACTTGGGAGAGAGTGCTGCCTGCATCTCCTGGGTGGTGTCCAGGGATGCTGCTCAACATTCTACAGTGCACAGGACGGCTCCCCACAACAAAGAATTGTCCAGCCTAAAATATCAGGAGTGCCACAGATAAGAAACTCTTGCTCTTTGGAGGTTTTAAAGCAAAACTCTCAGAAATCTTTTTTACTTTTCCTGTAATTGATTCCATGCCTGACATATCAAAAATGAAATGGGGACACCAAAACCTTCACTGCAGTGGCTCCTTTATTTTCAAAAATATTTACAAAATCGTTATGAAATCTGAAAAGCAATCCAAGCCAGTGTAAATGGTAATCCACTGATAAGTGTTCTGAAGATCTGGTTGTGATTTGCTGAATTTGTAAATGAGAAGTCAGTTCTCTATGCTGCCCCTTTCACCTGAACGAATTCAGTCCCTGGTACTTGAGTCACACTGGCAAGCCCTCACTCAGCCCAGACTATTTATTCTCTCCATCGCTGTTGCTTTCTGGTTCGAAATAAAATCATTTTTGTGGTTCCGAGGCTCTCTGTCTCTGCCTGTCTCTGTTGCCTTCTCATCATTTTGTGTTTTCGCACTTATGATGTCCACAAATATTTATCCAACTTTTGTTTTTTTGCACTACTTTGCAACATCTAATCAATCCATTTTCCTTAATGCCTGAAATTTTCTCTGATCCACCATCCTGCCTCTCTCCATTCAAAATACAGTTATTTTACAAGACTCAAAATAGTACCCAGGGATTTTATTGGGTTGTCAGAAATGTCATGACGCATTTTTGCAATGAAAAACATAGAAAAAATATGTCATGACTTTTCCGACGACCCAATAAAAACAAAAGCTATACAGGAGTAGAAACCTAGAACGAGAATGGCTTGATTTTGAGTCTGATCGGTGGGGTGGAGGCGGAGAGGACAGGAATGATTTGCTCAGAGGAGTGAGGGTCTTTACAGTGTGGTCTGGAACAATCCGGCAATTGGTCCGTAAATCTATTCCCTGACCCCAGACCCTGGCTCACAGGATTTGACTTTGTCTCATTAGAAACAAGCCCTTTCAACCTCAATCAGTGCTCTGTAGAGTACGGTCATGGGTTTACAGCCTCAGCACCGCCTGCAAGCTAGTTGGAAATGCCAGTTCTACAGCCCTACCCCAGCCCTACTCGTCAGACTCTCAGGGGGCCTGACCCACAAGCAGAGTTCTAACAAGCCCTGCAGGGGATTCTGATACTAGCAAAAGTTTGTGAAGCGCTGCTCTGGAGGGCTTTGTCTAGTCTCGTGTCCCATATAAAAATACACTTATAGCCTGGAATGTGCTTTCAAGGTAATGTGCATTAGGGGCAGCATGAGGCCATGCAGCATTTCTTAACCTCGCTAAGCATTAAAATTGCCTTTTTTTTTTTACAAATGCTGCTTCCTGGATCCCATCCTGAAAGATGGGGGATGAGGTCTAGAATGTGGCCCAGCACCCTGTACTTTCTTGTGAAGTGATTCTAAAGTGCAACCAGGACTGGCAGCCAATGCTGTAGTCACAGGGCTCGGGCATCTTTTCTATACAGGTCAGGTAGGAGCTTAGGGTTTGGAGGCCATGCTGTCTCTGGCAACTACTCAACTCTGCAACTGAAGGGTGAAAGCAGCCATAGAGGATATGTAAATGAATGGGTGAGGCTGTGTTCCATTGAAACTTTATTTACAAAAACAAGCATGGGGCTGTGTTTGGCTCATGCTGTAATTCGCCCACTTCTGCTGTAGCAGATAGAGTGCCAGACTGGCAGCCCTCAGCCCTCAGGGAATGCTCTAACTATCCCTTCACTCACTCAGGACTCGGCCAGATCCCCTCATGGCTCTGGGCCTCAGCGAGCTCTCAAGTCCCTTTAAACTTTGAATTACATCAATTCTGAAATTACAGAACTCATGGAGATGTCATTACCGAGTGATTAAGACAGGGCCACTCAAGGGTTATTAGAAGGTTCTTTCATTCAACAAAGTAGGGAGTGCCAGTTCTAATGATTAGCTTTGCCTCCTTCATAATTTTTTACTTGAATCAGCCCTTCTCACAAGTGACAGGTGTATAAAATATATTCCCTTTAATAAGAGTTTTGAAGTACATTTAATTTGAATTTTAGAAACTGAACAGATACTGCTGTAATTAGTCACCTTTCAAAGTCAACTTGAAGGGCATGTCATACACTCCAGAGAGTAGCCTACCTCCTGTTTTAAGTTATTATTTCTAAAAATATAGAAGTAAAATACATTGAAGAAGGTGTTTCTTGTGATTATAGTAGGAGCATAAAAAAGGGAGACACGCCAAACCCTTTTCCCACGAGTATTGTTCTTACTGTGGGCGACACATTCAAAAATGTAAAATAAAGATGGAGTTGAGGACTTACAGAAAAACCTTTCTCATAGTTGTCCTGTCATAATATGGGTGATTTATGGAAAGCAATTCTGCTCTTCCTTTGGATCTTTTTCAGCCATGTTCTCCTAAGAGAATTTAAAAAGCATGATTCAAAAGGAAGTGTATCAATTGACAAGCAAATATGTCATAGCTGAAAACCAATTACCAATTAAGGAGAGACACAGAAAAGTGATTTCATGAACATTGGTTTTTTTTTTTTTGCATGGTCTATTTATTCTCAAAGCTCAATTTCTGATTATGGTCATTCAAAGCTGTTCAATTTCAGCAAAGTATTTCAGATAATAAAGCTTACCTCACCTCTTCCCTAATCTCATTCTCCCTTTAGCTTCTGCCTTCTCTCACCTCCTCTTTTCTGTCAGACTTCTCAAAGGGCTGTTCAGATGTTCTGCTTCTGTTTTCTCACCTCTCACTATACCTCCCCACACTCCATCAGGCATTCGATGTCTTCTCTCTACCAAAACAGTCCTCTCTCACTGATGTCAAAAGTAGTGTCTGCATCAGTCCATATTCCCATTGATGTTTGCCCTCGTCTTGACATACAGCAGTGTTTGAGATGTTGACCACTTCAGTTCTTTAATCTCTCCTTAGGCAACAACATCCATACAATCTCCTTCTTCACCATTTTGTGCAGATGCTTCCAAAATTTAAATCTCTGAGTCTAATTACTTTTTTTAAAATTTTATTGTTAGTTTCAGGTGTACAAAATAATGCAAACTTAGCCTTTTCATCCTCACAAAGTAACAACCCCCCTCCCCCATCTATTGCCCTCCCACCCCCGATATCATTCTTATCTATTACAATTCCATTGACTCCATTCCCACTCTCTACTCCGCATCCCGTGACTATAGGTATATATAATTATAGTTGACATACAGTATTATTCAACATCAGCTTCAGAAATACAGTGTGGTGGTCAGGCCTCTACACCGACTATGAAGTGGTCTCCCTAACAGGACATGAGTCCATCTGGCCCCCTAACAAATATTTACAACATTATTGATTATATTCCCCAGACTGTCTTGTCTATCCCTGAGGCCATATTGTAGCTACCAATTTGTATTGTCTCGTCCCTTCCCCTTCTCCTTCATCCTCACCCCCTCCCCACTAGAAACCCTCTCTACTAAACTCAGCTCCATGTATTGACCTCTTTGGGATCCCTAAAGGGCACATCAAATTCAATATGTCCAAAACTGCACTCAGGATCGCTCCCCAGAACCTTGCCCTATCCAACCAGTTTCATGAATTAGAAAACCAAAAATTCATGTTTGATGTCTTCCTCACCCTCCATGTCCAATCCATCACTGAGTCCTGTTGATTTTATCTCTTTAACTGATTTATTCCTCTCCACATCTACACATGATCTCCAAGTCCAAGCTTTCACATCTCTCACCCTACAGCTGACATAATCTGCTAATTGGTCTACCTGTAATCCACACTGCACCTTCTCTTTCACTTGATTCCCCCAGCAGCCAAAGTAATATCTAAATTGGATCATGTTACACAGACCTCCACATATGTTCCTTCTAACATTCTTATCTCCGCTCCCAACGCCTATATATTGACCTTAAAACTTACAAAGTTTCCCGTCTGCTTTCCATGAAATTCTTCCAAAATGATTACCAGATTCTCCATGGTCTGGTCCCTGCTTATTTCCCCAGCATCATCGCGGACCTTACTCCCCTTATTCCCTACACTCAGCCACACTGTCTGTTGTAGCCATGCTCTAGTCTGCCTCAGGTCTCTACTTGAGCCATTCTTCCCTCTCCTTCTTACCTACCACTAATATTTCAGATTAATTCTCAATAATCATTTTCTAGAGTTTTTTTTCCATGATCTCCCCACCTGAACCAAATTCCCCTAATATCGATTCATAAAGCAATCTGTGCCTCCCTTCATAATGTTTGTCACAGTTGCAATTCAGCATCTGTTTGTGTAAATTTTGTTTACTATTTATCTTCCTTTGCCCCCACTAAACTCTAATATTCCTGAAGTCTGAAACCAGGACTAACTCCGCTTAATGTTTGTCACATAGTATGTTCTCAATAAATATTTAGAGCAGAATTCTAATTTCTCATTTCTTCTCAGTAGCTGGGTTCTCTGTCCTTGAACTCATTCTGACATGATCTCCAATATATATTCTGAACTTCCCAGGCAACAGCAGCCCTTCACTTGGAATTTCACCCAATGTCTGTGTTGCCTGCTTGTTCAACTTGATCTTAGGTCCCATGTTCCCAGGTCTGTTGCTTGCAGCGCCTTTAAATGAACTAGTCACAACCGCACTTCCCAAAGATACAGTGACTCAAGAAAAACTCCAGACTCATCTAACCAGCACTATATTCAATTTACAGAAAACTCACTTTAAATAATAAAGACATAGATGTGTTAAAAATAACAGGATGACAAACTATACAGCATGCAAACACCTATCAAAAGAAAGCTTGAATAGCTATATTAACAGCAGACAAAGGAGATTTCCAAATAAGGAACATTTCCTGAGCGTCAAAAATAAA